TCCCCTTCTTGTCACTTCACTGGAAAAACTCCCCCTTAGCAGGCTCTATGGTGCAGGACCCACCACTATGCTCTGGGCAGGGACCTGAGGGGTCATGTGCTCCTGGGGGACAGGTCTGGATGGAGGTCACCACATCAGCTCTGTGGTTGAGGATCTAAAGCCTACAGTGTGTGGGCTGGGATTGTGGCTTAGCGGTAGAGCGCTCGCCTAGCATGCGCGGGGCCCTGGGTTCAATCCTCAACACCACATAAAAAATAAATAAATAAGTGAATGGAATAAAGGTATTGTGTCCATCTACAACTAAAAAAATAAATATTAAAAAAATTAAAGCCTACAGTGTGCAGAGGCTCACCCACCAGCAGTTCCACCAGGGACCCTCTATAACTCCAGGGCATGGGGCACCTCTGCGGTTATCCATGATGGTGCCCAACTGTCCATCATAGGGTCAGGGGTCATGAGGCACCATTCTTCAAACTGGGGCTCTGAGGTACACAGTTTTCAGAACACTTCAGGACAAGGAGAGAGCCCTGGGCCTTGGGGAGGACAGAGGCAGGCCTGTCCTGTGATCCTCACACCAATGACATTACATGTGTCCAGAAATTCTCTGTGTCATGGCAGATGAAGGCCACTTCCCTGGTAGGGGTTGGTGTTTGCTGGCCAAGGAGTATGAGGCCTGCAGGGGCTGGTCAGGCCTGGTGGTGGGTGCTCGAGGCTTTGGGGTTCATCCTTAGCAGGACTCAGTCTAGACTTGGGTGCCCTGAAGCAGGTGTGCCTGGGAGCATCTTCCAGGGGGATGGTGAAACCTCACGGGGCAAGGGCTGGGGATGTAGATCAGTGGTAGAGCACTTGCCTTGCATGCATGAGGCCCTGGGTTCGAGCCTCAGCACCCTATGCCACACCTCAAGAGCAAGGTAGCTGTGTCCTTGCCTCAGGGCTCTCAGCACCACACAGGGAACCCCTGGGGTCCCCACACCCCTGGGCATATTTCCTTTATGATAGAGAATCCCAGTTTGGCCCACGTCTTCCCCATGTTCTCCAAAGCTCTGGGAAGGTGGATTTCCTCCCAGGAGGATGAGGACAGCTTGGCTCTGGAGCTAGAATAGGCTCCACTGATGTATGACAGGTACAGGGACTTCCCTCCATCTCTGGTGTCACCAGCCCAGTCTCAGAGACCCAGACTCTAGTGTCCCAGAGGAAGCTTCAGGGCCTGGGTGTGCAGGGGCAGGTGACGTGTGCTGGGAAGGGAGGTTGTGGCAGTGAGAATCAGGTGACCCTG